CCATTTCTTTGCCTAGTGGTTGCCTCTGGTATTCCGCGGCAAGCTTGATCCGCCTCGTTCTTGTTACATCCGTGTCCCACCATGGCGTTCCCGATCCAAAATTCTCCTAGTAACCACGGTAGTGATGTCTTCTCCAAGTTGCCCTTTTCCTTTCGACAAACCCTTTGAAAATGTCACTTTCCAGAAGATAAGAAGAACCCTTTACGAAGCATCGCATAATAAGGATGATTTCTGATCGCCATTCTTTTTGCCTCCAAATCCCGTTGTTTTTCCTCGTCCAAAACGCCACGCAGCGACGAGGACTGGTCATGACCGTTCCGTTCATTTGGAGACACCAGAACATGTATAGGCGATGAGCTGGGAACCTGCACATACGGCGGGTTTGTAGAGCCGTTTTCGGACATTTTCCGAACTCTTGGTAGGTACAGTAGCGGAGTTTACGAGTTTTTTTCGGATTATCAGCGGTGGAAACTAGCGTAAACTTGATAGGGGTCAAATCCACTGAGTTATGAAACACGATTTTTCATCGCGTCTGAATTGTTCCATGGGTGCACGGCTGGAAAACGGTGTTTGGGTGCTAAGAAGAAGTGAGCATGGATGCAAATTGAGTGATTTGGACATGTACAACTTGCTTTGTTGTGGGTCTAATGGTCTGGGACAGCTTGGAATTGGGACAAGAGACGACGTAGATGTTCTTGAAAAAGCTTTATTTGAGGTGGAGACCGGTAGATCCGAAAATATTGGAACCAGACCAATCAAAATTGCTTGTGGCGGCAACCATACGGTGGTTTTAATGGAGAATGGCGATGTTTACGGAGCGGGAGATAACTCCAGTAACCAATGTGGACTTGAAGAAGAGCGAGAATACCTATTTTTTACGAAAATAAAGGTTGAAAATTGCAAATTTGTGCTGTGTGGGTGGGAATTCACGGTATTTGTCACCCAAAATGACGATATTTATACTTGCGGACGAGGTAATAAGGGAGAGTTGGGCCGTGGCTCTACTGGGGTGTCTTCAATTACGAAAATAGCCAATATTACAGGAATTATCGACCTTCAATCGTCCCTCACACATACGGTAATTCGGACCTCCAATAATGAACTATACGGATGGGGAACTTGTCGCCGAGGAGAGCTCGGTGTTGTGGAAGGAGCCAAGTTTCTTTGCGAACCTTCAAAGCTTGATTTTCCCACAAAAAATTGGAAATACTATGCCCTTGGCAGAAATCGAACTATTTTCTGCCATGAAAAAATAACCATGAACCTTGATAAAGAAGACTTGTTTAGTGAGACTGGTAACTCGCTAGCGAACTCGGTTGTGTCCCTTCGTGCTATGTGGACTTCGGTACATGTTTCAACAGGCGACCGGATCGTATCCACCGGAAACAATAGCCATGGTCAATTGTGCCCACAACAAATACCGTTCACCGCCATGGAAACAGGAAGTGAGCACGGATTACTAGTCACGAAAAACAACAGGGTTTTGGCGTGGGGTTGGGGAGAACATGGAAATTGTGGACACACCGACGACGACTCAGTGGTGTACAATATGAATTGCATCTACGAGGGCCAGCCTCTAATGGTCGCTGGAGGCTGTGCTACAAGCTGGGTTGTGGCAAAAAAGAAAGAGTGAGTGAAAAAAACGAGTGAAGAATTTTGAAGAATTTGGAAGAATTTACGAATGTGACGAAGTATCTTTCCCATATTCATCTATGCTTAATGCTCAAAGATGGAAAATATGTTCAACGTTTTGTTCTCGAGTGCTGTATCGGTAACGGCTCATTGCACGAGCTTCCCGTCTCCTTCTTTCGCACCCCGGGCCGGAGCCCGTAGAAAGAATGTTCGTGAAAATTCGTGAAATATACCGATGGGGGTCCTGCAGGCAAGTCGCAATTCATAGTATTGGCAATCGCTCAAGATTGAACTACCATGTTTGGATCTGTCTGCACCGGTCGACCAGTACAATTTGCGACGCAAGTTGAAGCCAACAAATGGGTGATAGCCATAGAAAGTGCCCAGAACGTCTCACATGTGGCGATTTTTTTCGTTCCTAATGCCACTTTTGACCCCAATTGCACCGCATTGGTTTATTTTCAAACGCCAGGATCCACGGAATTCAAGTTGCTCGGAGGATTGAACACGGCCAAACCTTCCGCAATCTACAAGCTAAACAATAGCACCTCGGCTACTTACCAAGTGGATGATTCAGCAATGATGGACGATACTCCAGAAGCGGATCCCGCCGCCGTTATCAACGTGGGAATCTCTATAGAACCCACTCCAGTTGCCGAGCAACAATTGCAAATGGCGAGAAAGTCAGGACCACCCGGAGTCAATTCTGGGCTGACAAGTACCACCAGTAGTGCATTGGTGGTACTGACCCCGGCTGGCATCCCTACACCATCGATCGCCGAGATGGCCAAGAAAATTGTGGGAAACGCATACAATTACTTGGGCAGTTTTGTTGATGCGTCTGGAAACGTGCCAATGAAGGCGTTCGATACGTGGTGGACCAAATTTCAGGGAAAATTGGAACGCAATCCGTCGTTTCTCAATGAGTTGCAAGACTAAGAAGTTGCAACTGCCAAACTGTGACGCCCAGTGCACCAGAGCATCCCATTTCTTTTTGCTCATCGCGCCACAGTTTTGTCAGCATACGTTTTGTACTTAAACGGCTAGTTGGTAATTCACAATTTTATCACTAGTGATTCAGAACTCAACTCAGCGAGTCCATACATTTCGCTAAATGACAAAAGATACTCCTCAATACGGGTTTGGAACCCATGCCATACACAGTGGAGCTGCCGTGGACCCAACTACCGGAGCTGTAATCGAGCCAATTTCCCTTTCAACCACGTTTGCTCAGTCGCTGCCTGCTAATCCTATTGGAACCTACGAGTATTCGAGATCTGCTAATCCCAACAGAGACAACTTTGAGACTGCTGTGGCTCAATTGGAGCAAGCCAAATATGCCATTGCGCTTTCTTCTGGCTCTGCTACCACCTCGTTGATTGTTCAGTCGTTGCCAATTGGCTCTCATATCATTTCCGGAGCCGATGTGTACGGAGGAACCCACCGTTATTTCACCCAAGTTGCTCACACCCATGGAGTCACTGCTTCGTTTGTGGCTGACTTGGGAACTGACCTTGCTGAAAATATCACCGAAAACACCAAATTGGTGTGGTTGGAGACCCCTTCTAACCCAACGTTGAGAGTCACCGATATCTCCAGCGTGGTTAAGGTGTTGCGTGAACACGAATCCAAGACTGGTAATCGTATTCTTTTGGTGGTGGACAACACATTTTTGTCTCCTTATGTGTCGAACCCATTGACTTTTGGCGCTGATGGTGTTATTCACTCGGTCACAAAGTACATTAATGGCCATTCCGATGTGGTGATGGGTGTTTTGGCTTCCAATGACGATGAGTTGCACAAGCAAATTCAGATTCTTGCAAAATGCTATTGGTCTGGTTCCCTCGCCTTTTGACTCGTGGTTGGCTCACCGTGGTTTAAAGACGTTGCATTTGAGAGCCAGACAGGCTTCTGCTTCGGCCCAAAAGATTGCCGAGACTTTATCGCAAAGTCCTTTGGTGCTCAAGGTCAACTATCCTGGTCTCAAGTCCCACCCTAACCACCATGTTGTGGCCACCCAGCATCGCGATGGTCTTGGTGGAGGTATGATTTCGTTCCGTATTAAAGGTGGAGCGGCTGCTGCTTCCAAATTTTCTTCCACTACCAAGTTGTTCACATTAGCTGAATCTTTGGGTGGAATCGAGTCTTTGCTTGAAGTTCCCGCTGTAATGACCCATGGTGGTATTCCTCAGGCCGAACGTGAAGCCAATGGAATCTACGACGACTTGATCCGTTTGTCGGTGGGAATTGAGGAAACTGACGATTTGGTGAAGGACATTGAACTGGCGTTGGAGAATGCTGTGGAGTAGATAGGCGAAAATAATATGAATAATAGAAGCGGTAATCACGAAAGAAAACTAAACAACTTTGTGGAGTAGATAGGAAAATTAATATGACGAAATAGACGTCGGCAATTAGAAAAGTAAAAAAATTTGCAGCCATCATGGTGCTCTTCTTCTCATGCTCGGTTGGTCTCTTCTATTATTTTACATCCATGCACCAGCGCTACTTAACACGATATCTGTTGCAGCCACCATTAATGAGACTATCGCTATTGTTGCTTCTAACCGTTGCCAGTGCTTTAGTAGTTGATCCCAGTGCAAAGTACATCTGTTCAGAGGAGGACTCCACAGATTGCTATCCTCAAATATTTGTTCCTACAGAAGAGTGGAAAACCATCAAACCAGGCCAAGAAATTCCACCCGGTTTACACGTTCGTATGAATATGGATTCGCTTCAAAAAGAGGCCAAGCTTATGAGTGAGGATGAGAGGGAGAGTGAAGAAACACCAAAAGAAATTGGTTTTAATGGAGGAGAAAGTGAGCACTTTGAAGGGCATAAGGTTGAGAATCAGGTACCGGCTGTTTATGAAACGTCTGATGTATCGACGTTTAATGGCGCTGTGAACGCTGTTTTGAGGTTTGGAGACAGAATTACCTCCAGTTCTTCTGGAAAATTGAATGAGAAGGATATCAATGATGCTGCTGAGACACTCGTAGATTTGAGTCATGATCTCGAACACGGTGTTCGGCTCACACAGGACCCAAAAATCTTTATCAGTATCCTTGACATTGCTGATAGTGGTTGGTTTGGATCTCAAGGAGAAACTTTTGCGGATCATGGGGTCGTCGTTGCGCAACAATCCAGAGGCCATTGGTAATGTGCTCAAGTTGCAAAACCCTCAATTTATCAATCGACTCTTTGACTATCTTGAAGACAACACTGCCGAGGAAAGTGGTGAAGAAGCGGGTTATTGGAATAATTCATGCCTTATCGTTGAACAACAGCTTTAAGCTTGAATACTTGTCACTCCAAAGAGGCCGAGGTATTGATAGATTGGTTTCTGTGTTTCCTGAACTCGAGCATTCATCCCAAGTGAGGGTGATGAACATCTTGGAGGACCTGGGACTCGTGGCAGATTTGGAAAAAAGACAAGAAGAATCACCACAGCTGGAATTTTCCAATTTTCTTCAATCGTCCCTTCACGAGCGAAAAGTGGTGGCAGAACCCCAGTTTCAACTCTACTTCAACAAGTTGACCCAGCTCCACAAACAGAACAAGGACCTCAAACCAACGCCTGAGTTTCTCCAGTGGCTAGCACAAGAGGCCAATGTCCGCGTAGAGGGCCATAAAGACACTCGGGATATCAGTCCTGAAAACCAGAACTTTGACAGACAAATGCTCCAGGCAAGACACGAGGTGTTTGGTAACCCCAATGCTATGCGTAAAGCGTATTTAGACGAATTATAACCAAAATCTACGAATCATAAATTATCACAGTCTCCATTATACTTTACATCTAGTCGAACAATCCGAAACCCATGTCGTCGTCAGACTCCTCAGCGGCCTCCTCAGCGGCCTCTTCGGCAGCAGGAGCATCGGCAGCGGCAGCAGATCCAGAGGAAGCAGCAGCTGGTCCACCAGTTGGAACAGAAGACAATTTTTCGTTACCTTCAGCGATCAATTCTTCAGCATTCTTTCCCTCAACTTCGCTCAACAACTTGGAAACCTTCTCGTCGTCAACTTCTATGGAAACCGACTCCAAGACAGCCTTGATGTCAGCAGCAGATGGGGAGGTGTTACCGGCGTTCACCAACAATAAGTATGCAGCCAAATATTTCACTGAGTTAGTATGGCAAGGGGACGTAAAAACCACACGAAAAGAACCACGGACGGCGGTTTATCTATATAATGTGTTTTAGTGGTTTCAAATGGAACATTAGCGTGTTACTTACTGATTTGCAGTAGTCTAAGTCGCTTGACGTTGGTGGTGAGATGGGTGAAAATTGAAAAGTGACACAAAGCTAAATGTTCACAGTCACGTCGCACGTGAGCTAATATGTAGGAGGTAGATATGTGTTTTCCTGTATATTGCGCGTGATTTGTCGTTATCAACATCGCAGTGCTTACCAATTGTGGCTCTATGGTGAAGGAAGTTCCACTATTGCTGCCTTCACAGCAAAATGAGCTCAAACAGGCACTCACACAATGGGCATTGACCAACGGGCTTACTATGTTTCCTCCTAACTTTGACGAGAATGTCACGGCAGCTGCACCAGTTACGTTTTATCCCACTCCGTTTCCCCACACTGCATTTAAAACGGCCATTGACGTCCAGAAAGTGTTCAATGAGCTTTATATCGGGGTGGTCTCGCGCCACAAGACTTGGTTGTTGGAAATCCTCGAGACTTTGGCCCAGTTTGATCAGGATTTTACCGGTAAACTTTTTGAAATTTACTTGAAATCACTTGTGGATGACAAAAGTGTCCAGCCGGTGTCTTTAGGACTATTTCGGTCGGACTATATGGTGAATCAAGACGATGAGGTGAAACAGGTCGAGTTCAACACTGTTAGCGTGAGTTTCGGTGGACTTTCAACCAAAGTTGGACAAGTGCATCGATACTTGAATCAAGGTGGATTCTACGATAATAAGTATTCGTCCACGTATTATGACGATGACGAACTACCAGTCTCAAACTCAGCTTCGGAACTTGCTCGTGGTCTTGCTCAGGGCGTAAAGCATTATTCTCTGGGTAACACTGTGGTGTTGGTAATTGTTCAACCTGGCGAGCGCAATGTCTTTGATCAAAAACACATTGAATTCAATCTTTTGGCAGAGTATGGGATCCGGTCTGTTCGTATGACTTTGGAAGAAGTTCAAACCAAAACAACTATTAACCAACACAAGTTGTACATCAAACTGACCATGGATGAAGTATCGGTGGTATATTATAGATCCGGCTACGCACCCAGTGATTATTACAATGATCAGATTTGGGACGCTCGTCTTTACTTGGAGAAAAATATGGCTATAAAGTGTCCTTCTGTGCTAACTCAGCTTTCAGGTGCCAAGAAAGTACAGCAACTTCTTACTCAACCAGAAATTATAAAGAGCGTGCTTCCAGACTTGGTTGATGCGGACCTTGAAAAATTGGTGTCCACTTTTGTCAAAATATATCCACTTGACGAGTCAGAAGAAGGTACTTATGCAAAGAAAGAGGCATTGGAATCTCCTGGCAAATACGTTTTGAAGCCTCAGAGAGAGGGAGGTGGTAATAATATCTACAAGGAAGATATACCCGATTTTTTGTCAAAATTGAATGAAAGCGAATGGGGTGCCTATATATTGATGGAGCTCATTAAACCTGCCAACCATGAGAATGTGATCTTGAGACAAGGTGAAATCATTAGTGACAATATAATATCAGAATTGGGCACCTTTGGCACGGCGTTGTTCAACGAAGATAGCGGAGAGATTTATGAGAATGAATATGCCGGTTGGTTACTCCGGTCCAAGGTGAGTTCCAGTGATGAGGGAGGTGTGGCTGCCGGTTTTGGATGTGTAGACAGTGTCTACTTGTTCTGAATCTTCACTTCTTTTTCAATATCGATGGCCCATATTGCTGCACCAATGTTGTTTGTGAACATGAAAAATACACTGAAAATGGGAATGGACTCTAGAAAGTTGGCGGCAATACCAAATCCCATATAATGGCCTCTTTTGGAATTATAAATCGACCGAATTTGTCGCTTATCGTATCCCTTCAAAGCAAAGTATCTCAGGTGACACCGCAATCCCTTGGAAGGAGCTTGGAGAATAATCACCAAAAACGCCCCAATGACAGGAATGGATCCAATCAGAAGCATAACAAACGTTTTGAAGAGTATAAATGGAACAATGAGAATTCGGGGTAATTCAAGAATCTTTTGACCAAATTTCACTAAAAATGGTACACTTTGCAACCGCCGTAATTTTCCAAGTAACACAACATCGTCGGTATATTCACGAGAAAGAGTTGCATCAAAGGCCACTTTTTGAATTTCAGGCATCAACACCACAACCACTATAAACCCAGCAACCATTCCACTTTGTTGTAATACCGAAAACCACGCAGTTACAAATCCACTAGGACCATAGAGAAAAGATGACAAAACGGCTTGAACAGGATAGAACATGATATACATCATCATATAGATCACAAGGGTAATTGCTAGTTGTGGTGCCAAGATGCTAAGGTAAAATGGCCAAATATCGGGGTGAATTGCAAAATAGTATATTCCCTTGGTTAGTTTTAGAAAAGCCGTTAAATGCGGTTTTACATACATAAAACGGATACAAGTAAGTCTTTGACGAGATCACTTGTCCGGGAATTGTTAGAGGTCTCAAGATGAAAAGAATAACCTTTCTTGCCAAGTTTTTAAAAATAGGTCTCATGGTGATAGTTGAAAACACAAATGGGTGCAAAAAAATTTGGTTGATCAATGGACGAGTCCGGAGTCGAACCGGAGACCTTTCGCATGCTAAGCGAACGCGCTACCAACTACGCCACACGCCCTGTAGATGGAGGAAAAGGCACTCTGCAGGCATACGAGCGCGAATCAATGCGAAAAGGATTGAAATAGATTTAATAAATCAACAGAAATAATTCAACGATAGTTCTAGAACTGCGTGAATTTCTGTGTGGGATATGTTCTATGACACTCAAAGAAGCCAATGAGGAAAAAAATTGAAGTCGACGCGTTTTACAAAATTGCATATTTTTGAGTATTCACTCAATTTCACCAATTTTCAAATATTCTTCGAAGTTAATTTCTTCGATGTGGATAAAAGGGCATGAATAGCGTCGTATGCTCCTGAATCTACTGCACATTCAATAAAAAAAGTTAACTTTTTTGTGGCAAAAAATGGTCCCTGGCGGGATCGAACCGCCGATCTTGGCGTTATTAGCACCACGCCTTAACCAACTGGGCCAAGGGACCTCTGGTGTGGCAAGAATTGCGGCTCACTGCCGTTCATGGCACTTTTGAGTTATCCGGAGCCGCATACCTGGGTGGTTCGATAAGCCTCACAATAAAAAGACACCAGTGTGGCACTTTATCAGTATTTCAGTTTCCCAAACTATGTCATTGTCTCCTTCTACATTAGCTAAATGGTCATCTTCGTTGGACAACGACCTTAACATTCAATTGGCCGCCTCGGTGCTCAGAACTTTCAATGCCGAAGAAGCGCTCATCAATCGAGACTCAGTAGTCAAGAATACCACCAAGGCTTTTAATACCAAAATTGAAGCCGAAGTTGGTCCAGTCACCAATCAAAAGTCAAGTGGACGTTGCTGGTTGTTTGCTGCTACCAACACATTGAGGGTGAAAGTTGCAGCCAAATACAAGTTGAAGGAATTCCAATTGTCTCAAGCGTATCTTTTCTTTTACGACAAGTTGGAAAAGTCCAACTTTTTCTTGGACCAGATTATCCAGCTGTACGAAGCAGACATTGACTCGAGATTGGTCCAGCATCTCTTGTCGGATCCTATTAACGATGGAGGTCAATTCGATATGTTTGTGAATGTGGTGGAGAAGTATGGTCTTGTTCCCCACGAATTGTACCCTGATGCCTATTCTGCAACGTCTTCAAGAACCTTGAACTTTTTGGTGTTGACCAAGCTTCGTGAGTTTGCCGAAGTGTTGAGGGAAAACCTCAAGGTTGGTAAAGATGTTGCAGAACTCAAGGAGTCGATGCAAAAGGAAGTGTACAGATTACTTGTGGTGTTTTTGGGCAAACCTCCTGCGATTGATGCCGAATTCGTTTGGGAGTATACTGACAAAGACGACAAGTTTAAGAGTTTAAAGGCCACCCCACGTTCTTTCTACAAAGATGTTGTCGGTGTTGACACCACCGGGTTAGTCTCACTCTTGAATGATCCCAGAAACAAATACGATACCAATATTACCATTGAAAAATTGGGTAACGTTGTTGGTGGAAAGACTGTATCCTACTTGAACATGAATATTGATAGTCTCTCCGATTATGCCGTGAAGCGGATCCAGTCGAACCAACCGGTATTCTTTGGAACCCATACTCCAATCTACATGGATAAGAAACGGGGAATTATGGATGAGAGTCTTTTCAACTACAAATTGATTGATTTTGATGCCACTCAAACCAAGGCCAGTCGTATCCGGTACAAGCAATCGCTTATGACTCATGCTATGACACTTACGGCGGTGCATTTGGATGCCAAAGGTAAACCCGTAAGATGGAGAGTGGAAAATTCGTGGGGTAAAGAATCGGGTCAAGAAGGATACTACGTGATGGACCATGAATACTTCAAGCAGTACGTTTACCAGGTTGTGGTTGAAAGACTGCTGTTGTCCAAGGACCATCAAAAGGTGTTGAAGGACACAAAAAACACCGTTTTGCTTCCTCCATGGGACCCTATGGGTGCATTGGCGGTGTTTAAACACACTCATTACCCGGCGATGATGTAAAGTGAAAAGTCGGTGCGAAATGTTTTTTAGATACTTTGAATGTAAGTAAAATGATGAAAAACCTTCACAGACCTGTACTGATCACTGACGTGCAGAAAACCAATTGCCTATTCTGAGTTACTAACAAAAGAAGTGAATACCCAAGAATTGAAAAAAGTTGAGAAAGTTTTCAATGCTAAAGTCTCGATGACTTGGTTGACGATGACTTGATCCGACGATCAAAACCAAAAAAACGTCGTTTATGTAATTGTAGGCCTGGTAAACACAGTAAGAGCAAGTGAGCTTTGGAATATTGCCACTATTATTTAGGTTTGCAAATTTTCACTCATCGCAAACTAAGAGCCAATGGGAGTAAATTAGTAGAGAAGATGAAAAACGAAGATTTTCAGTCTGGAGCCTCATGCTCGAATTGTGAACGTCTTGTAATTTACTTTGCTTTACTTTCTACGTCATTGTTTATGCCTTTCTTTATTACAGCGCTTATTTCTTAGCAGTCAATCTTCTCAAGTAGAAGGCCAACTCTTCACCTTCCAAAATGTAACCATCACATCTACCGGATTGTCCTGGTCTGGAGGAGATGGCAGCGTACAATCTACCAGCAGTAAATTGGGATTCGACAGCTGGTTCAATGGCAGCAGCACCAGATCTGGAAGCCAATTTTCTCTCAACCTTTCTGGACTTCTTGACCTCCTCCTCAGCAGCAGCTTGTTGGTTCTTCTTCTTACCCAAAGTTTGACCGTAGTGGGTCTCGAACCATTGCTTGAATGGAGTAGCATCGATTTGAACAATGGCAGCCTTAGTCAAGGTGTTGGTTCTAACCAATTCGTTGTTGGAAGGATGGTACACCACACCAGCAATTCTGGTCTTTCTGGAAACACCTTCGGAACCCCATGAAAAGTTACCGGTATCGAGTCTCAAAGCTCTGAATTTTTGGTTACCACCTCTGGTTCTAACAGAGTGGATTCTCTTAGCACCGATCTTGGTATTAGCAGGTTGTCTTCCCAACTCGAACTTTCTCTTCTTTCTGAACTGGGCTCTCTTGGCACCAGTGGCCGAACGTTTGTGACGAGAGTCTCTGGAAATACCCATGATGAATTAGTTGAATTCAGGTAGATTGAAAAAGTTATGCGAACGAAATTTTTTTCGAGGACGAGCCGGTGCACGTGCGAGGGCTGAGCCCGCAACAAAGTGGTGTGCGGGTGCAAAGCATCACACAACACCCGTGACCATGGTGCACCGCGGTCACGCATCTATTCCATCTTATCGCGATGACTATTCCAAATTTTCATGCTGGAAACGGTCACTATCTATGATGAAATCGAAATTGATGATTTCACTTATGATTCAACCACCCAACTTCTCCAGTATCCATGTCCATGTGGGGACCGATTTGCCATTGCACTAGATGATCTTTTAGATGGAGAAGACATCGCGGTTTGTCCTTCCTGTTCCTTGATGGTTCGGGTGATTTTTGACGAAGACGATTTAAAGCAATTCGTGCAGGACCCTTGATAATTGCGCTTGGCGGGTAGGGTGCGATGACATAATCGTAACCAATGACTCGGCAAAGGCCGCCGGCTAAAGTTACCGACAGCCACCGCAGTGGGTGGCCGTTTGGTTCCTAATTAGGCGAAGTTTCCGCAATCGGTAAAAAACCACAGGACCCCAAAGCAAAGAAGCAAAAAGTAAACTGCACAAGGTGAAACGCTTCGGTCAACGGTAATTTATCGGCTCAACTTGCCGATCCAACTGATATGGATGTACAGTTCGGAGAAATCCGTGAATATTGCAGTTGAAATTCTTAACAAAGCATGTCATGCATAACGTTGAATGAACCAACCGTTTCCCAAATAAGTACAACTACCGATTGAATTTGATGGGTTAAGGGAAAAAACGGATTTAATTATAGTATTTTTATGCACGGCCACTTAAGAACCGAACCGGTTCTGGCCTACAATCTGCATATTTGTGCATGACGGCGCCAATCGAAATCTGTGCGGAAAAAAAAAATCTACTGACATGGAACAATCAGATCGGGTAAATCGGAATAGCAATAGCCTTTGTAAACCCATGGAGTAATACGGTGGATTGTATTAAGTCCGGTTAGAGTGTATAATGTTTGTAAAATGATACATGATGAAATTTATTATTAAACGTGGTCGCGGAGTTACCCACCGCATACCGTTAACAATAGCAACAATAAGCGAAGATTAGAAGATCTCATGCAGGCGCGGTGGGATATGTGTAATTGTTCTGGTGCGACCGACAGTTTATTATGCTGTCAGTGAAGTGCGCGATGTAAACCTGCAGTCTTGGTACGACCATTTGGTTGCCGTGCATTTTTTTCCAATGTGGAACTGCGCGGCGACGTTTGCTGCGCAGCGCTTTCGGTCGGAGGCGATCATCGGCGTCCTCCGATGGTAGTTAGAGTCTCGTATATGGCTCCAGTAAAAGTTTATAGACGATAAAATGTTATTAACGGATTAACTACTAAACCAAGCAATACCTAATGCATGCTTAACGCCGCAGTTCCATGGTGAATGGTTGTGGCCGATGGCATTCAGGTAAACTGCCGGTGAGTCCGTGATAGTGGAATTTTTTTTTCTGGGAGCAACGGCGTGCAGCGGCTTGCAGCAGATAAATCGAACCTGGCACGTCGACGCAGTCGAATGATATTTAATTGCATAAACGGCTTGAATTAACCAAATCTCTCGTCGTCACCCCGTTATTTTATATTCTAATCTGGAAATCAGGTGAATTTATCTGGTGTTGTATCATATCTTTTATTTAACCCCAGAGCTTTTTAACATTCGGGTCTCCAAAGCAGCAGGCTGCAATCGGGTCCCAACGTTTATAAGTTGTTGGTTCAGTGGCAATAATGCATAATAACGACGACAAGGAGAGTCCTCCCGGTTCTTCAACCGATGCTAATAACAGAAGAGGTCCATGGTCTCCCGAGGAGGATCGTCAACTACTTGAACTCGTGTCAGTTTTTGGACCTTCCAACTGGGTTCGTATATCCAATTCTTTGGCAACACGAACTCCCAAACAATGTCGAGAACGGTACCATCAGAATCTTAAACCGTCATTAAATCGGTCACCAATTACAGCCGAGGAGGGAGCACTTATTGAGAGTTTGGTAGCCAAACATGGCAAAAAATGGGCCGAAATTGCCCGACATTTAAATGGTAGATCCGACAATGCTGTTAAGAACTGGTGGAATGGCGGAGCCAGCAGACGACGGCGGCAAAGCACCCAGGAAGGGCAGACTTTTTTAGTGGGACAAGAGAACCACAACCAAGAACCAAACCAAAATCACCCGAACCAAAACCAAAACCAAAACCAGCCCCCATTCCACCAGAATCAATTCCAGAACCAAGTCCAGAACCAAGTCCAGAACGTCCAACCAATGCTTCATCTTCCCCAGCCCCATATTTCCCAACCCCATATTTCCCAGCCACACATTGCCCAGCAGCCATTGCAGCCCCTCCAACCATTGCTGCATTTGCCAGCATCTTTCGGCGCTCCCAAATCCCAATCCTCAACCCATCCGTCTCCGTCGCCGTATCCGCTTCCCAACGTACCCCATATTGCCTTCAACACCCAAATGTTTGGACCTCATTCCAACTACCCTCGCGACTATATTGGCCACCAGGATCCGTTTGCCAGACCGCCCAATTTCCGCCTGGCTTCGTTCGACCAGGAAAACTTCAAAACCGCCTTTCCCCCGCCTACAATCCACCCTTCAAAGCGACGTCTTTTGGACGACAATCCAAGACGCCATTCCACCACCGGTGCTCCCGCAGATTCGTCTTCACAAGGTCCTCCATCCACCTCTCCCAGTGGCACCATTCTGCCTTACCATTCACCACTTCTTCTTAGCCATACCAGCAGAAACAACTCGGTATCTCACGAACTTTACCTTAATAGCTCGGGCTCGGCTCTGATGACGGTATCTCGCCGATCATCAATTGCTCCTGATTGGTTCCCCAACCCGATCAAAGACGATAAAGCACACAAGCGCAACGCATCGCAGAACTCGTACTCGCCGTCGCTTACTCCGGTAAGCCGGTTTTCCGTGTCCAGTGCGGTGTCTAATGCTACTTCTCCCAATGTGGCATCGGCACCGGCACCGGCGTCAGCACCGGCCCAAGCACCGGCCGGTGTGCCAACCACCACCAGTCCTTCCCGAAAGGACAAAACCAGACTCTCGGTGTCCAGCTTAATTGAGTAGCAAAAAGTCTACTGAATGTACTTAAAAGTCTACTGTACTTAAGAGTCTACGGTAATTAATTTATGGTCTTTGTATGTAGCGCGCGTATAAATTTTATCACCAAATTATTCAATCTTCTCATGATCCCGTTGCCCGTAATTGCACAAGACGTCATGGTGTTTGACGTCGCCCATATACGCAAACTAAGACTGTTGGGCATTGCGGGGGTGCTTTCTGGCACTCTATCGGCGGCTCCTCAACAAAATCTTCTTCTCGGCGTCCCGTTAAGACTTTCCATCTTTGACGCTATTTGGCTTGTTAGAAACCACCATGCCTTTTTATACGACTCTGCTGCCTACCACCAAGGACTAACCACCACAAACAATTCCGTAGACCCCTCAATTGACAACAAAAACCAGTCCAATTTTATAACTATTCCATCAACCTCATCGGCACCCGGACCACCTCCAATTGAATATCAAATATCCATTGACGAATTTATGCCCAAAGACACCAAAACTGCACAGCTTTACAAAGTTTATAGCTCTCTTCGAAGCCGAGGGTACTGGGTTCTGCCAGGATTGAGATTTGGGGGAGATTTTGTGGCTTACCCTGGTGACCCACTTTTGTTTCATTCTCACCTAATTGTGTCTCATGCCGATGAAGTCACCAACCAGGATCTTGTCCATCGGGGCCGCTTGGCTACAGGGGTTAAAAAGTTGTGGTGTGTGGTGGATAGCATGGAAAAGGCATATAGCATAGAATGGGCGGGGTTTGGTTAATAAGTTACCATCACTACATAACGTATTCATAAGACATTAGCATCGACACTGTTCAGTTAACTTTGATCTTGTCAAAGATAGAAAACACCCGTTCTCTAGCAGAATCACTGAAAAGACTGAGCTGGTGTTCAACAGAATGACCAGCAACACGGTTCAAAAACGCTCTCAGATCATGAACCTTCTTGTGGCTCTTATGCCCCTGGTGCTTGCCCTTCTTGAACTCCTTTCTGCTCTTGTGCTGCTTATGTTCTTTATGGGGTTCCTTGCGGTTGTGCTTCTTCTTCTTCTGGTCCTTGGGTATATCCAGCAGCGGTTTCTCGTACTTCTCTTCGTCCGCTACCACAGTGCCGTTGACAACGTCCACCTTTCTCTTGTACTTTCTGTCACCATCAATCTTCATCTTATACTTGGTGGTCAAAGAGCCGGTTCCATGGTTACCTTGGTTCGACAAAAAATACTTGGACAGTCCGTTCTGGGCTGAGGATACCTCCAAGTGCATCCTTGGGCTAGTCACATCAACGACACGTACAAGTTCAAGCTTGACATCATACTCAATATTGACATCGCCTGGCACAACCGAATGGTTCTTTTCGGCCGAGTTGAGCACGAGTGGGTAGCTGTAACTTGTATCCAACTTGTAAAGTTCGTCGTTCTCAGTGGCTATGGTGACATTCTTCGACGAGTGTCCAACATGTACCACCAGTTGCACACTACCAAAGTGCAGATAATGCTGAACATTTGCTATTTCACCCTTGGTAAGTGCGGTCACTGTTGTCTTGATCTCTTGGTCATTTTCTAAAACGAATGTAAGGTTACTGGTGACCTCGGTATTCAAAATACTGGTGATCACTTGCTGAATTGTTCCTGAAAAAGGAGGCGCGAGACTAACCACAGTAGCACGAGCCTTGTCGTCGATATTAACAATGTCTCCAGACGACTCAACAACCTCACTGTTTTCCCACGACAACAAGTTGGCAGAGGTAATCCAATTCTCACCGATTTGTGAGTGCTCTGGTAAAAATGGACGATTCAGCTCGTCAATACCATTGCTAATCTCAATCTCCAAGATACGGTCAGTGACGGCTTGATGTTCCCACAAGAGCGGCAAGAGTCCTGTAACGTCTAAATCTATAGTGGGTAAGTCGAAGGCACGGGTAGCAACAACTCTACTCCACAAAGCAGGTGAGATTCCACCGGTGAAGACAATTGGGTCGGGTGTCTGGGTAGCAATCTTCTCGCCATTGAAATTAACGTTCACAAAACGAGTGGGTCCGTGTCCTTGTAAGGTGTTTCCTTGTTCGTCGAATCTGTGGGCGTACTTATCCAAAACGTTGGCATACCAGAACTCCTCAGCAGCATTTCCTGAAGTCAAAATCAGCAACCGGAGCCTGGTAGTGTTTTGAGGAACCGTAGGCAACTGAACGCGGATTTTGTCTGAGGGAAGGTAAACTACCAGCGGTTTATGTGGGCGGGAAGGAAGGATAGCATGAACCCTGGACGCCGGTTTATGGGTCGAAAAGATCGATGCTTTCAGCTGGATTTCTGGGTCCAGCTCATCGGCTTCTCCGTGAGAATCGTACAATTGGATAGACAACTGAACATGGAACAGACCTGTCAATCTTCCTGTCAAAATGTTGGGCAAATCAAATAAAATGGAAGCTGGGTTTCTGAACAACTCGGTATACACCGACACGTCCTTGGTGGCAAGAGACACTATCGAGCGCCCGCCAGGCTCAGCAGTGGAAGTTCTCCAGATTTCCACCCCATTTACAAACAAGTTTGCCAACCGGTCGTACTGAACTCCTGAAGACGTTGTACGAAGAGTTAATACCACTTTGTCGAACGAAACGTTGGAGGGAGGAACAAACTTGGTTTCAGCAGGATTCCCCCATGAGTTTCCAAACGTGTGGTTGAGTAAAAGAGACTCGTATACTGGAGATCCGTACCACTTGGGTGGCACAAATGGGTACCCAACTTCAATAACTTCAATTGATTCGTTGCTAGCAACACCGGAAACCTCGTCCGAGAATCCCTTCCACGTCTCATCCACCAAGCTTGCCACTGACACCGTCTTGGGCAAATGTACACATCCATAAGGAGAAGGCGAAGTGAAAAACATCGATAACGTTGAAGGATATTGAACAAGATAAACCATAGTTCCAATGATCAAACCGAAAAAAACCGATAAAATTCTATCCCGGCGCTTTGTAGAACCATTTAAAGACCCTCCACGTTCCTGGTTTTCAAGATCCGGGTGGCCAAGCATGGCATCCCCTTCTTTAGAATTGATCTTTTCGTCGTAGTACGAGTGATTTTCCTTGTCGGAAATTGTTGGAGGAGCATCATGGTCGGCCATAGGCACACGGGCCCTGCCGTGGACGATCATATTCCAAACCGAATATTCCCGAGCTAAATCCCCCATGTTGGGCTACGACCTAATTAAACGAAATATATCAGTGAGATATATATATACAGGCTCCAAATATCCCGCGTTGGGGCTCCTGCAGGCCGTGCTATGCAACCTATATAACCACGCCAACAAATTGCGCCTCCAAGTATTGCTGTTCTTCAATGTAGTGTAACGTTCGGTCGTAGTAGGCTCGGATGCTGTAGTATAACTGTCTCTCGTTGCCGTCAACACCGTCATCTGCTAAATTGTCAAGATTGGTTCTGATCAATTCGATAAGTCCGTTGATATACCGCAGGTCAACCAACTCGTTTCCGTAGATATGGAACTCTAGACATCGATTCAACACCTCCACGAATAGACGCACGGAAAGATAGGGGGTCCATACACGAATCGGCAATTCTGAGCGCTTTTTGAAGACATTCGAGAACTCGTTTGGGGTCTCGATAAAGCTTTGGTTTCTCTAATTTTGTATCGTTTTCTTTAGTGTCGTCTTCGCCTTTTTCTTCGTTTTCTGCTTCCTCTTTGCTTTCGTCATGCTCTATTCTTTCGTTGTCTTCATTCATGGTTTCGCTCACCAGTGTTAGTAACTCACACCACCACCAAAGATGCCCACACAAATAAACCAGGCGACATTGATCCTGCTTCTTCAAGAGTCTCGAGCCATACATGGTGTTTTTTGTAATCAAAGACTCGTAGTTTTCCCTGCTAAAGTGACGCAGCGATGCTAGTTTGTTAGCTATCATTACTACCAGCTGATACGAAACGGAACCGCCCATGGAATCATGAGCATTTAATCCAGTTCCACGGCCAGTCGATAAGCTCTCCTCGTAGACTGTGAATGCTTGGGTGAAAAACTCATATGCAATCTTCTCTTGATTCATTTGGTCCGCCACAGAAGCTGCATTGACATTGAGCTTCAATGCAATCTCGGCATTATACTCAGCATGATGCTGATACAATTCGTCTATGACCATCGCAACATTCTTGAAGTTGCTAGTCAAAACTAGTTCCTTGTTTTCATCGTCATCATTCTTTTTCGCCAACCCTAACCGAAGTTTCATCAAAATTCGTTGCACCAAAGTGGGATAGGTATAGACGATGTTTTTGAGGTTCTTGTTCAAGTACTTCTTCCGCAAATACAAGAGGTTGGACACCGCTTTCAAGTGATCACTGCCATCCACAAAATGTATGATCTTGCACAATTTTTCTTGAACGTCCAAAAATGCTTGAGAAACCATGGAATCATCTCCCACTTTGATGGAAAGAGTAACTCCCAAGTCTTTCGCGGTGTTCACCTCGGATCCTGTTTCAACAACCAAAACCTGAAGGTATTTGAAAATAGCATCGATTTCATCACTGCTCTGATAAGTAGTGCCCTTTGAGGCCAAAAGCTTATCCAATATTTCCACTCCAAGCTGTCGTTTGAGCTGTGGAGAAGTTATGTTTTCAAAAAGTTTATGGAAAAATGGGAGCAGCAAGAGCTCGATGACCAGTGGAAAGAAACGGACTGGAACAGTCATTAGGTCAACCCAAAGAGACTCTTCGTCGGCAGCATCCTTTCTTATTAGTTTCTGGGAAGCATGCTGGAAGATTTGATTCAAATTGTCGTAGTTCTCGGGATCAAAAGTGAGAGAAAGTTTGATGAACACTTGCAAAAGTTGTGAATGTTCCTCGGACGGAATATCACTGTCCAGCTTCACAAGCTGAAGGTAAAAATCCCAAAACGTTTCAAAGAGGTTTGCCAGTTTCATTTCTTCAGATGAGCCATTGATGAGGCGATCTATCAACGACGTCACCAACTCTGACTTGCGTAAATGAGGATGCAACCTGACAAACACTTCATTGAGAAGAGGGTGTAAAGTAGCCAAATGCATTTCGTCAGGGAAAATTTGGATGAGAACATCCACAAGATAACTTTGAGCGAGGAGATCACGACACTGAATGATCTGATCGGTTATAACTGGGAAAATATTGTCTCTGTACAACTCCACACCGGACACAGACCCAGTATGGCTATCGGTATACTCATCTAAAACCTGTGACAATCGGACCAAATTCAGGCCCACCAAAATTCGGAGCTCTTTGCGTTCACGGTGACGCAATTCTCTTTCTGACGAGTGACCCTGGTGCTGGAGACGGACCCATAACTTGTTCATCTCGATGAAATTCAGCACCAAGAAACTCACGGTTTCATTAAAGTCCTTTTCTGATGACATTGGAAGCAAATTCTTGATTCTTTGCGACAAGTAATACCTCAAAAACAAGCCCCGGATAGGGTGCTGGACTCCTCTACACATCTCAATCATATCTTTCATGAGCTCCTTCGTTGGTGCGTCGGTTGTACCCATATAAGTGGTGCCAATGGCTATCATCATATAAAGACGAGGAACTATGTTTCCGGAGTATTGGACAAGTTCGTAAAGATCGGCCAAAAACGACGAAGAACCTTCCAGTCTTTTCGATTTGTTATTATGTGACACCAACAAGTACTCGGAAAGAATTTCCAAGGCATCGAATACAAGCATATAAATCTCATAGTACTCTTTAGGAGTTAGCTGATTTGTTCGGAGTTCATTTAAAAAGTTCAGACAATGCTTTAGCGCCTGGAGAAGATTTCCATCATTTAGGCACTGTTTCATTAGACTGGTTTGGTGACGAATGCTGCTAATGCATCCTTTAAGTGCCTCTGCCGTCATGGGGCTGATATACACGGAAGTTGGTGACACGGAAGATAAGGTGGTGGGGTGTGGAGGTTGGTGTATCGGTGTAATATACGGGAAAAACAAAATTCAATTAACAGAGAAGAATATTCAGTCATATGACCTAACCTAATCTGGGGCGTTTCATCCCTGAGTCACAATTGAGCGAATATAGCACTATAGGCTTTTGTAGCCGTAATCTTATTTTTAATCGCATTTTACATTTTTCGAACTTTTTACAAATGGCTGCAAATTGCAGCAATTGCACCATACATTTAAGCATATCTCGTTAACCTAAAAATCCATTTAAATCATGCATAACCATTGCAGCTATGGCTGCAGAAAGAAGTGTGGCTATCATGCCCAGTAACAATGCCGATAAGATGAGAGCAGAGATATCTTTTGCTCGGGAATTGTTGGTCAAGGTATTCAAAACTCCCAAGGTAATACCCACGGATCCAAGATTGGCAAACCCACACAATGCGTATGTCGCAATAAGAGTTCCTCTCTTTGACATCTCGTTATAAGGGCTCTCGTTCATCAATAAATTGTAAGCAACAAATTCGTTTTGGATGAACTTGGTAGCTATCAACTTTGACACATGATATATTTCGTCACGAGGAGTTCCCAATAAGAAAGTAACCGGATAAAGGATGTAGGAACCGATCAATTCGAGACTGAAATGGTGGATATTCCAGTAATTTCCAAACCATGTCAAAATACCATTAATCAATGCAACAAGTCCAATGATACACATACATTGAATCATCATGGTTCCAGCAATTTTAAGACCGAGAGTTGCACCCTCAGAAAACGCCTGCAACACGTTATGGGGCCGTTCCTCGCTTTCGTCTTTTTCAGGAAAATGAACCTTACCACTAGTCAATGGCTCGTCTATTTCTGGGTGCCGCAATTTCGAAACTGCGATCGAGGCTGGAATAGACATAACACACGAACTAACGAGAGCCTGTGGATTCAATCCCAATCCGATGTATCCCACCAAAACAGCACCAGAAATTGTCGAGAACCCCGAAGTCATAATTTGATGGAGTTCACCTTTGGTCAAGTACGGCATAAAGTCCTTGATAAGAATAGCACTTTCACCAATACCAATAAATGGAGACGCTGCGGCTGTAATGGCTTCTGCTCCCAGCACTCTTAAAGACCAGAAGAAAAAATGAGCAAACTTGATGATGGCCCATTGAACAATACCGAAATAGTACAAGATGTGAACAAATGCCACGAAAAAAGCCACCGCTGGGAGAACCGTGAAGAAGAACATTCCAAACTGTGAGACCTCTGTATTAGTCAAAAATGCAACACCATCCTTGGCAAAACCCAAAAGTTCACGAGCCAAGGTGGAGATAAAGTTGAACACATCAAAACCACATTTGGTTCGCAACACAAATAAAGCAACGATGAATTGCATCAAGATGCCGCCAATAACACTATTCCATTGAATTTTTACTTCGGTGCTTGGAACTCAACCAGAGACCAAATACAGCTATCCGACTAACTCCGAAAAACGATATAGCTCGATCTTCACGCTTGGAGTAACTCGTTTCAGTTGGAACAAATGTGCCAAGCAAAATCACCGCAACCGTAATGATTGCACCAACTAACAATCTTCTGGGTCTGGTTACCAAAAGTTTTGGTGTAGACGATATTAGTGGCATAGTTCCATACGATTTGAACCTGGCGGAGCATCCAGGGCAAGATTCTAAAGTTCCACGAAATCAAACGCACCATAATCATGCCTCCAGAGAACCGTTGGAATCAACCACTGGTGACGATGCTTTTTCTGGATGATAATAGATAACCACCAAGCGGTGAAAAAACAACCTACTATAACCTGTAACACCTGTTTCCAGTATGGGTAGCGGATTTTCATGCCGTCTTAAACCAACTGCCCGAGTTTTGGCTGCTCGTTTCAGTTATTGCCTTTTCTTCGATATCGAGTCCATCACACACTTTTTTCTCCTCCGGTCTGCTCTCATCTTCTGGACGCAACAGCAGCTTAGGAGCTACTGGAGATCCATTATATGTCAAGACACTTCGGTGCTATGCGGGTTATTTACTATCAGGGGTCCTCTCACATAAATACAGATCTTACCCCAGTTTCGGAATCTGAAATTTTGTTTTTTGTGTGGGATCATTGTTGCCGTGCATACTGATTACTTCCTGGTCATATAATATATTGGTGGTGACATTTCTGATAATAAAATAGCCGCCTTAAAAGTGGAAGGCCGAAACTTACTTGTGCTAGTATTTTGTTATGGTGATGCGTGCCCCCACTCTTGAA